AGTAGAGAGAGAGAGAGANAGAGAGAGAGAGAGAAAGATTGCATCGTAAACTTCAAGAAGTAAATATCAACCACTCTGGGTTTATAATTTCAGAGTTCTAAAAAGTCTCATAGAAGCTGAGTGATAATTAGAAGCACAATATTTTGTTTAACACTAAGTATTATTGCATCACATCCCCTCAAAACTTCAAGCATTTGTGCAAGTACCGTACGATATTGGACTCCTCCTGGGAGGTCCCCTACCTTATCCACATTTGTCGTGAAAAAGATACAAACATGAGAATAGGAAAAAAAGGAAACAAAAAGAAAGAAAAGAATTCGCAACCATGAGTGCATACAAAGACAAAAGGCAAGTATTTACATGAAAAATGACACAGTATTTCTAAATATTCATGGAAGATTTCCAACAATTCTTCATTTGGCTTGACATCAAAATTCTGATGGTCACTTGATAAGAAATCAACACTATTTCAGCTACTTAACTTATATAAAATAGTACCACAAATCAGTGATGGCTGGATGCCTACCAGCTCTAAGATTAGCAGCACCATCTACATAAAAATACAAAGAAACATTTTTTTATTTTTTTTATTTTTGGGAAAAGGTGGCATTTATGTATAAACACAGAGCAATAATTTGTACAATATTTCCCATGAGGAACGGTGTAGCACCGCATCCCACAAGACAGGTGCTTTACAAGTTTGTTGAATTATAGTACAAATTATGTAGGTCAGTAGGTCCCCACCACAACAAAAATACAAAGGGAACTGTCAAAGAGTAGAGTATCAGCAAAAAAACAGTAGCAGTAAGTACAAAGAGAATTGTGCTAGCTTGCAGTGGCTAACTGATGCCTGTAATCCCCTCAGTTGCTCCATATCTCGCAAGTGAATCAGCCATAGAATTGGCTTCGCCCCGAGAAAGCCTCCAAAGATATGGTGCAGAGCAAGAGGCCCAAGATATGACATTTTTTGAGTCCCCTTCGACAAACACCCCAATCGAAGTCCTTCTCAAGGAGGCCCAGCTTGATTCACAATCATACATTGCCAGAGGTGATTGGTTTGGTCATCAACCTTCTCCACCTCTCGCCAAGAAGGGCAGTCTTTGTTTCTTTGAGGCTTCAGATACCTGAAACATCAGACACTGCACGTAAGCATGCTTTTTTCCAAGCAACTAGGTTTATCCTTTTCATGTTTGCTCGAACCCGACCATAGGAATTCCTTCATTTTAGAGTCACACTGGCCAGCATATAGAACACGGATAGAAAGATGGGGATGTCTGGGGAGGTGGCCTTGATGAGGGTAATGGCAGCCACCCAAAGAAAGGTATCTACATTTCCATGCCGTGAGTCTTTTTTGGAACCATTCTATGACACGGCCTTAGAGGGATTTCCAGGGTTTCCCTAAGCATAGAGGAAGTCCCAAATATTTAGATGGGAGTCTTTGGGTCCCGCAACCAATTCACTTGGCAAAGTTTTCCAAGGTTTGAAGTTTATATAAATTTCCAGCATGTTTAGATTGAGCCATGTTGATCCGCAAGCTGGTAGAGACTTAAGCAAAGGATGAACAACCACATGCTATCTACCTCCAAAATAAGAAGCATTGTAGAAGAACAGGATGTCATCTGCATATTCTAGATGGCATATCTCTAGCCTAACCCTTGAAGGCTCAAAGCTAGAGAGGGAGTCTCTTTAGAATGGTCTAGAGATTGATCCATAGTTATCGGAATCGCTCCACTGACCTCGCATTTCCGGTTTCGAAACCCGATTCCGCATTTTCGTTAAGGAATCTCCAAGGAAACCCTTTTTCGGAACCAAGGAAACTCGATTCCTTTATTTCAGAATCTCGATTTGACACATCTTTAGTTACTATTTTTCGAAACCAAGGAAACTCGATTCCTTAATTTCAGAATCTTGATGCAACACATCTTTAGAAATCATTTATCGGAACCAAGGAAACTCGATTCCTTAATTCGGAATCTCGATGCGACACATCTTTAGAAACTTGAACACATTAATTGCGGGTAGATGTTCCCAAATATATCGAATATGGTTTCCAGTGAGGATTAAATCTTGATTCCATGTCAATTGAAGTAGAAATCTTCCTTCGAATGCCTCTAGTGGTTGCAGGGTTTCATTATTTTACTTGTGTCACCCTAGATTGCCTTTACTATAAATTTAAAATACAACTATTAAATACAATACATACAATTAAAAGCAAAACCATGGCGTAGATATAAACCTATTTTGTCTTTATAATAATGAAGTCAAAATCATAATTTAGAAATACTTGTCTTTTGTATATAATGACCGTAAGTTTAATAGTCAACACAATCACTTTAAAATTTGGGAAACCTTCTAATAAGAAACTTCCAATATAGGTTCTAAAGTTGATGAAGCTCAAGATGTGCTTGTCGCTTCCTTCTCCATGAAAACGAAATCTCGATTCTTGGTGGGGGTCGTCAAATGCATTCTATAGTCCATATTATTGTAAATCTCGATCTTAAATTGGCATGGATTTTGATCCATATACTTCAGAAACTTGCTTCCAAATATATTAGAATCATGATTCAAAATATCAACATATCTTTGTTCCACATTTGTCAGAAACTCGATTCCATAGATGTCAGAAACTCGATTCCGCATATTAAGGAATCTCGACTCTTAGAGTGTCGATTCCAGGGGGATGGGAATCTCGATTCCAAGGAGGACGAAATCTCGATTCCATATATGGATGAAACTTGGATCTATTTCGGTCGAAACAAACACGATTCTCAAAAACTAGGAATCTCGTTCCTACCGATTCCTATTGTACGGACAATGATTCCTAAGACGGGAATCTTTGATCCGGTCGCGATTCCGTGATTCGGATTCCCAAGCGTTTCCAACAACTATGGATTGATCTACTTAACACCCCAGCTATTATGAAGATGAGGAATGATGAAAGTGGGTCACCCTATCTGAGGCCTCTCGTGAGCAAGAAATAGCCGTGGGGGTATCTGCTTATGAAAATAGAGAAGGACCTTGTGAAGGCACAGCTGAAGGTCCAGCCATTGCATTTGTTTCCAAACCCCATGTACTCAAGCAACTTGTCAAGACGGTGGTCAGCATCATAGGATTTTTTAACCAATCCAATTTAATAAGGCAAGTTTTTTCTCAAGGTGTCTTGAGTGGATGGTCTCATGGGCTGTTAGGGCACCATCGAGGTCTTTATAAAGCCAATCTGGTTAAGGGAGATAACAGAGCTGAGAACTTCCCAAAGACAATGAGGATTATAAGAGGAGTTCAAAATGCAGGTACACTTTGCCTAAGGTGATTGGTTTGGTCATGAACCTCCTCCACCACATGCCAAGCAGGACAATATAGGCATGTTTGAGGCTTCAGATACCTAAACCACCAGATATTCTATGTGAGCATACTTTTTCCCAAGCAACTAGATGAATCTTTTTCATGTTGCTGGAACCTGACCATGGGAATTCCTTCATTTTAGAGTCACACTGACCGGCATATGGAAGAGGGATAGAAAGATGGGGATGTTTGCCAGGGTGGGCTTGATAAAGGTAATGCAACCACCAAAAGAAAGGTATCTATCTTTCCATGCTGTGAGTCTTCTTTGGAACCATTCTATGACAGGGCCTCAGAAAGACCAGGGTTTCCCTAAGCATAGTGAAATCCCAAATATTTAGATGGGAATCTTTGGGTCCCACAACCATTTCTCTTAGCAAAGTTCTCCAAAGTTTTGGGGTTTATAGAAATTCCCATCATCTTTAGATTGAGCCACGTTGATCCACAAGCTAGCAGAGACTTCAAAGCAAAAGATGAACAACAACATGCCATCAAAAGCATTGCAGAAGAACAGGGTGTCTCTTGCATATTATAGATGCTCCCTGGCCCAAAACTTGAAGACTTAAAGCCAGAGAGGAGGACTCTCTGGTATAGTCTACAAATTGATCTCCTTAACATCTCGGCTATTATGGAGAAGAGGAATGGCTAGGTCACCCTGTCTGAGGCCTCTAGTGAGCCGGAAATAGCCATTGGGTTGCTGCTTATGAGAATAGAGAAGAAGCTTATGAAGGCACAGCTGGCGATCCAGCTTCTCCATTTGTTTCCATACCCCATCTTGTCAAGCACCTTCTCGAGAAGACGATTAGGTTTTCCCTGCATATCTCGCACATCAAATTTAAGGATAAAGGGCGGCTTTAGTAGCTGTCATGGTGGTATGTGTTCCATGCACGTAGGCGTCATGGGTTCGTTTCCTATACTCTCCGTGCTTTGGACGCTGCCCCCCCCTCTCTCTCTCTCTC